AGACTGGCACAGATGTTAGCTCAGAGACAATCTTTCTCAAGCAAAAGGAGGAAGATTAGCTACAGATGTTACATCAGGGCCAATCTTTCTCACCAAAAGAAACAGAAAAAAAGGAAGAAGAAGAAAATATTTGTGACCTTGAATTAAGCAAGGATTTTTAAGATATAACTCTAAAAGCACAATTCATTTTAAAAATGATAGATTAAAAACAACCATAAAAGGCAGAACTAAAAGTAAATATCCTGCTATACGATCAAGTGGGGGCTTGTCCAGAAAAACAAGGTTGGTATAAGATTGGAATATCAATCAGTTCAATTCAACATATTAACAGGATTAAGGAGAAAAACTATATGACAGGTTTTTGACAAAATAACAAAAATTCCCAGCAAACTAAGAATAGAAGGGAACTTCCCCAACCTTATTAAAGATGTCTATGAGAAACCCAGCACCATTTACCACAGCACTGAAACAAAATACTTAGGGACAGAATTTTTAAAAACATAGGTAAGACCTATAAATTACAAGTAGATACTTCTACAACAGGATATAGGAAGCATGATCCATAAAAGAAATATGTTGATAAATTGGACTTCATCAAAATTTAAAACATCTGCCCCTTGAAAAGATGCTATTGATGCTTAACAAACCATGACAACACTTAGTGACTGAAAATCACAACGATTTATTGTTTCTCATGATTTTGTTGGTTTCCTAGAAGGTTTGTCCACTGCACCTGCTGGGGACCCTCATTCCACTGCATCCAACCTGAGGGTGGAACATCCACCTTGCGCAGGAACGGCCAGCACGGCCTGTCATCCCCCACACTCTGTCTTCACACAACCTCCACAAGATCAACACGGCCAACAGCGCTCCTCCATATGAGCCATGAACAATTAGAAAAAGTAACAAAAATGTAAGATTATTTTACCATGGCAAAAGTATAACCTCTCCAGGAATTAATCTAATAATAACGTGGAATCATTATGTAGAACAATTTTAAACACTTTCAAAGAATGTAAAACAAGACCTAATAAATAGAAGAATAACTATGTTGGTGAAAAACAATGCTCAAAATTCCCAAGTTTCTGTGTTTTCTATATGAATCATGCTTTTGATTTCCTGTATTTTCTGGTGCTGTGACATTTTGGGGCCTCGTCCCTCCCAGGGATCCTTACTGGGCAGTAAGTCTTTCAAATGCAAACCAGCCTATGCAAAGCCAACCCCCCCTCCTCCCCCGTCCCCCCTCCCCTTCCTCCACCAGCTCTCACACTCAGGGCCATGGTCCCCATTTCCTGATCACCCCAGAGCCAGGTGCCAGACAATCAGGGACAGCGCCTAGGCCCCAGAGCACCCTGAGATTAATCAAACTGGCCAATTCTAAGCCTGCTGACCCTGCCTGGCCAGTTCGCTCCTGTGGAAATCACCATAAAGGATCCTGCCCAATTTCCCCTGGCTCCCATGCTTCCCTGTACGGCCCCCGTGGCACAGCATGACTCCTGTTTCTAGGGATCTGTGAGCAAAACTTCCTCCTTCAGGACAGTCATGGCCGTGACTCTGTCTCATCAGACCACATCAAAGCAAATCCTGGGGACCCTGACAGCCACTCTTCCTAAAGTCACCTGCACATTTAACGTAATTTGAAACAAAACCTCCAGTGGGAATTTTTAGCAACTGGACAAACTGATTCTACGAATTGATTCTATAATTTGGAAAAACGAAGTTCTCTGCCTCGCTAAGACAATCCTTGAAAAGAAGCGCCAACCGGAATTCACCCTACTGGTTGCCACGGTGCGTTTACTCCAAAGGCATCGAAGTGAGAGCAGTGTGGGACCAGCACAGGAGCAAACAAGCCAGTGGAACAAAACAGAGCATCCAGAAATAGCTTTATAAATACTTCTGTTCCTGCCGAAGAGGAACCACAAATGGGAGAGAGAGATTGATAAGTGGGGGCGAGAATATTGGGTCACTATGAGGAGAAAAAAAAATCTTTACCTGCATTACAAACAACCCTGAAAGGCAGAACTAAAAATAAATATTAGGAGAAAATGAAGGACAACATCTCTTTCTCTCCTGTAAATAACTCTAAAATGCAAAAAATAGACAAACCAAAAATACGCAGCCCCACCGGAATAAGCAGATACCTTGTGTTCTCAGTTCATTTGGAGTTCATTTGGAGTTCAGAAACATTTCTCTCTAGATCTATCCTCTTAGCACAGGAGCAGAATGAGAGCAAGGAGCCGCGGACACGGGGCACGCACCCCAGCACGGAGGATCTGTGTTCCGGGAGGGTCCAGGGACCGGGGCCCAGGTAGAGGTCTCTCCAAAACCAAGAAACTAAGTCCTGGAGATGAAAGGAAGTCCTTCCGCCTCTACTGAAAGAAACTGCTTATAACCCTGGGCCCCAGACCAATGTCTCTGAATCAAGCTTCCAGAACCCTCTGGGACTTCCAGAACATTCCATCGCTGCATTAAAACTGAAGCCTGCGTGAAGGGCCAGGGCAAACCCACGAACTTCCCAGCCTCTCCTCCCACCCGCCAGCCCCCGACGAGTTCCTCTCAGGCCTCAGGAGAAGACAGACCCCCTCACAAACCAGGGGCCTTCATCCCCAGCCGTTAACTGTCCAGCTTTGCAGCCGGAGCAGGGAGGGGGCCCCGCCCCTGGTCCCAGCACACCCCTTCCCCTGAGGTCCAGGTCCCTCAGGGCTGAGATCCGGCCACCGCCACCCCTCTCTCAGGGGGTTTCCACTAATCCCGTGAGGCAGCGCTCTGCCACCTAAGGACAGGCCCTGGGTCCCCTCCCTAAAGCAACTGTCCTGGATCCTACCATCCCTCGCGAGCCTCCATTGTGGCTCTGGACGGCCTCCCAGTTCTCTCCCGGCCGGTCCTCCCAGTGGGCAACTCCACAGACTGCCCCTTCTGGCCCCTCGGCCCTGCTCTCCTGGCCATCTTCTGCCTCGTCACCTCTGAAGGTGCACCACAGCTCTGCTGGTCGTGAATGAGTGGAGCACCCCTCCCGCTGGCTCCCTCCTCTCTCTCTCTTTCCCCTCACTCCACGCTGCCCCTCACACTGACCCACCAGCTCTCCCAGCTGGCCTCACGTGTCTGCGGTCAGAGCAATTGGCAACTGAGTGCCCAGGAGGTGAGCTGTGGGCTGAAGGCCTCAGAGGCGAGGGAAACAGAACCCACGCACGTCCACCAGCAAATAAGCTGCACCACAGTCACGAGGACTTCCATGTCATCACGGCACAGCCGAGAGGGCTGGCACCGTGCCCGTTGCCTTTTACAGGCGTGACAACCAAGAGTCTGAGGAGATGTCACTTGCTCAGGTCAAGCATAAGGTTCTGAAGTGTGTGGGACCCGCCCTGCATGTCCCTTTCTGTAAGGACCACACCGCATAGGAAGTCGTAGACTGAGTGGAACCACCGGCCTTTCTTTTGTCCCCCGGAACCCCCCCCCCCCCATTTCTCTTTCTCCATGTAATACAGAAGGGCTCTCTGCACATAGCAACATTGCCGTGTCAGCCAGCCAGGGTATCCGCTGGGCGATCAGAGGGCCAGCACTCCCTGGCCTGCTGCCCAGGCAGGGAGGAGGCTGGGGATCCCCAGGAGCCCAGGGCTTTAGAGAGGTCCACTCCCAGCCCCAGAGCAATTCAGGGAGGGCTGCCCTGCGGCTCCCCAGGGCTCCACTGCAGCTGGGGTGCTGGACCCTGTGGGTTGTCCTTCCTCACACCCGGGGGCCACTGCCTGCTGGCGTCCTCCACCTCCTGCCTGTGGGGCCAGAGGAGACCTGCAGAGCACTCGGCTGTTCTCGCTACAAAACGCTTGTGGTGAATTTCTGAAACTCACACATTTTGACAAGGGAACTATTTTGCCCTTGCCCAGTTAATACTGCGTCACAAACTAGGGATCCCGCGTGTCCCCTTCCCCGCAGGAGTAACGCCAGAACTACGCAACTAGGGAGTGAGAAAGCATCGTAGGATTCACAAACCGCTGGCCCGGCCCACAAATGCCCGGTCTCACCATCTGGGTGGGCCCTCTGGTCTGAGCGGACCCCATGCGTCCGGGGCGGGGTCCGCCCACACCTCGGTGGGCACAGCCCACAGCCGGGACTGCACCGACTAGACCAAGGAGCAGCGTAGCGAGGACCCCTGCCCCCACCGGCCGCCTTCCAGGGTCCCCAGTCTGAGCGAGGACCCGCGAGAGGGAAGAAAAGCAGAAGGAGAGCCGCGGGGAGCTGGGTCCCGGGCGGGGTCCTAGTGCAACCGGGACCGAGTCCGCAATGGCCTCTCACACGTGCGGCCTGGCTGGCCCAGCTCCTCGTGTCCCTCGGGATTTGGGCGGGCGGGCAGCGTGGCGCCGGGATGCCCTGCGGGCTCAGCATCCGCGCCCCGGGGTGCGCGCGTGCTGGGCGCGTGCCCGCGCCTTCCCCTGTCCGCGTGTCGCTCAGGGCTGGCCGCCGCGAGCCGCGTCCCCCGCGCGCGCCGAACGGCGGAAAGGGGCTACGTGGCGGGCCTGCCCGCGCTGGGGACAGGACCTCCCTTCTCCGGGAACTAAGCCCGGCCAGAGGTCCCTGGGCCCTGCCTCTGCGGGAGGGGCTCAGCCAAGCCTCGGCGCCCCTCCGTCCTCCGGGCCCCCCACGGACCACTGACTCCTCCGGCCCCCCGGTCCTCCGGCGCCCCGGCCCCCCAACGCCCGGGGCCCCCCACAGGCTCCCACGGCCCCCTGCTGCCCTCCCCGACTCCCCTGGTCCTCGGAGTCCGTGGGTCCCCCAAGGCCCGTGCTGGCCCCCCAACTCCGGCCCCCAGCGCGAGCCTACACCCGCGGGGGCGCGGGAGGCGGGGCTCGCGCGGACGCCCCGCCCTGGCCCCGCCCCGCGGGCCCCGCCCCGCCCACGTCACGCCGCCGCCCCTCCGGCGCCTGCGCGGCCGCGCGCCAGGCCCGCTCTGCCGCCGCGCATCCTCTGCCCGCGCCCGGCTCGGCGCCCCGCTCCCCGCACCCGCGCCCCGCGCCCTGTGCCCCTCGCGGCGGGCGGCGCGGCCATGAGGCTGCGGGGACGCGGTCCCCGGGCCGCCCCCGCCTCCAGTGCCGCCTCCAGCGCGGGGGCCGGCGACGCGCGGCTGCTGGCTCCCCCGGGGCGGAACCCCTTCGTGCACGAGCTGCGCCTCAGCGCCCTGCGAAAGGCCCAGGTGGGTAGCCCCGCGCCTGGACCGCCGCGGTGCCCTGCGGCCAGCAGCCCTCAGCCATCCTGCGTCCCGTAACCCTGGTTCCCGCCGCCTGTGCCCTGAACCGGCCCCTCATCCCGTTACCCCCGCACCCGGAGCCTGGCCCCACCCCCTTTCCCTGGATCCCCGCACCCCCTTTCCCTGGATCCCCGCATCCCCTTTCCCTGGATCCCCGCACCCCAGGCGCCGCCCCACCCCCTTTCCCTGATCCCTGGCCCCCCGCAGCCCGTCGTTCCGCGCCAATGGGTCCCCTGGTCCGGGTGTCGGCTCCCGCCGCGTGCAGGCCCCGCCCGGAGCGGCTTCCCTGGATGTGACTTTGTCACCTGATGAGCTTCGTCTGTGGGGACCTGGCTGGTCATTTGAGTCAGCGCCGGCCACAGTGGGGCGCGGGCTGTTGGGGGGGCTCCCCTGAAGATAAAGGGCAGGAGGATTTCCGCCTCTGGGTTTGCGAGTTGTTTTCCGGGGGGCGTGCAGGGGTTGGCCTGCGGCAGATGCAGGTTTGTGCAGCCTCGGTTCCAGCGCGGAGGGAGCAGTGTGCGCCCGGCTTCCGTCACGTTTTGTTCGTGGGGTGGTCTGGTCCTGGCTGAGGGAGGGGCGGCCGCAGGCAGCAGCGCGGCCTCCACACTTGCCCCTTTCCTTCCCTCGCGTGGCTTCCGACCCGGCGGGATCCGTCCAGGGCGGTGTGCGGTCTGTGGTTGGCAGCCTCTGGTTGTGTGTTGTGTTTGCGTTTCTGTAAGATCCCGCGCAAGATGGCCTTTCTTTTCACCCCGGAAGGGTCCAGAGCGGAGGCGCAGCTTCAGGACTTGGTGGTTGTCCAGTTGGTGGGGAGTGTTTTTCCTACTGTGACAAAACTTTTTGCCTGGAGACGGACATCTTTTCACGCGTAAAGTAATGATGATGTTAAAGAGAAAAGTTCTTGGAGTCAATCTGAAGTCCTCACTTTCCCGGTCGCCTGCTTTTTCTCTAAGCGCCTTCTGGGTGGGTTTGGTTCTCATGGATGGGAGAGGAAGTTGTGGGCAGAAAGTTGAGAAGAGGGGAGAGAATGGAGCGTGGCATCCCTTCTGGTGACAGGAAAGGGCAGGGCCGTCCCCAGTTGGCTCCTGGGCCTTGTCCCTTGTCTCTGTGCTGTCCCAGCCAGACGCTGGCATCCTCCTGCCCAATGGTCTGCTGTGTTCATTTACTTGAAGACTCACTGTGCCAAGTGCCATAGGGTTGAGACGCACAGTCGCTTCCTCTGGGCTCCTGAATGGGCCCCCAGCCCCCAGCACCCCTCCCCTCACTCATGTGGTCCAGGGGGCCTTCCTCCCCCCTGCTCGCTGCTCAGAACCCTCAGGGTACCCCTGGGTCAGGTGGTTTCCAAGACCCTCCTTGGCCCTGCCCTACCCCCAGACTTGGTGCCCTTGGCTCCAGCTGCCTGGGGGCTGTCCTTCTTCCTGCCCCTGCCCACTCTCTCCTGGCCTCTCTGCTCCTCCCTCAGATCTCGGGTGAAATATCACCTCCAGGAGGAAGACTCCTCTTCTTGGAGGTCCTTGGAGGGCCTCCTCTGCATCCCTGTCACATTCGCAGCCCCTTGTTACTGTGGGTGCCTGGGGGCCAGGCCTGTCCTGCCCGGGTGAGACCCACCCAAGAGACTTGGCTAATTGTTGAGCGAATAAACAAGTGAAAGGGATGAATGTCAGAGTCCGAAACCCCCAGCCCCCTGGAGCAGGGGTCACGTGATTGGAAACTGGAGCTTCGGAGCAGCTTCTGCGGGTTGTTTGCGGGTTGTTTCTCAGTGAACGGTTGATGGGAGTCCGAGATTTTGGTTTTAGATGTTGGCCTGCGCACCTGGATGGCATTCAGAAAAAGAACAGGTGGGTGGGATGTTTTAGCCTCCCAGAAAGGAAGAGATTCTTTGTATCCACCTCGTTGCAGTGTTTCAGAGGCCATGTCAGAATAAGGGTAGTGTATTTGTAACAAAGTGGTCATTACTGCTCTGATGTCTGCAGTGTGTGGTCGCGGATGTGTTGCTTGTGAATTCTCTCCAAGTTGTGAGTCCACTCTGCAGAAACATTTTGTTTTTCACCAAGCAGTGCTCTGCAAAGCTTTCCACCTTTACGTAATGTACTATGGTAAAGTTTCTACAGACTGAACTAACCCTACCCAAGCAGAGAAGCCTGCCTGGCCAAATCAGTAAGTGAATGGACCCAGCAATGACTGAGACACCTGAGGGACACTCAGAAACTCGCCTAAATTCTGAGTTCACCTCAACCAGCAAGGGTGCCTGCTTTTTCCTGTTAGCATCTGCTGCCCGGGAGGGGCTGCCACGTGTCTGCGGATTAATGACCAGTCCATCTGTCATTTAACTGCAGATTTAGCAAGGAGCTTAAGCATCTCTTGGACAGAAAACAACACGTTAAGATCTGAAAACCGTGAATAGTATAATACTGGGTAGTCTCATGGAGATTTGTTGCTTTCGGAGTCAAGAGATGGATTTCTATCACCTGGGTTTTTTTGGTGCTTCCAGTTGGAACTCACAGGGGTGAGCACATCTCACCTCCAGCTCCGATGTTTCCCCATTTCTGAGCTCCCTGTGGCCGGTGCCAGTGAGAGTTTACTTCCTGGAAGGTAGGCCGGCCTCCTGTACACCTTGGAACTGAGTCCTTGGAGGAAGGAGCTGCTGCGTGCACCCCTCCCCCAGCCTAATCCTCGGAGGATTACCATGAGGGTTGAAGCCAGGGACAGACTCCAACCCACCAGTGTGTGCTGTGCTGTGGCCTTCGTGGAATTTAATCACCCAAAAGTGTGGGGGGAGGGGAGGCGATCTTCTTCTCAAAGTTCTTATCCCAATGCCCGAGTTTTGATAAAAAAGCAACAGCGGGCACAACCCAACTCGGCCTGGATCCTGAGTTAGGTGTGGCCATTCTGGCGCGGGGAATCCCACCGCCTGGTGCTTCCAGGCCACAAGTGGGGAAGGCTGCTGACTGCGTCCTGGTCTCGTGCACTGCCCGCTGGCCTCAGTGTCTCCCACCATGCACGCACACAGACCAGGCTTGGCTTCTCTCCTTCTGCTCTGACCTGCCAGACTCCTGGGGCGTGCTCTGGCCCCTCACACCCCATCCACTCCCTCTGCCCTTGTGTCTGGTGTTCCATGCATGAGGCTTCATAGTGAGCAGTTCTTTACCCAGCCCCTTCTGTGACCCCAGCACTCTGCCAGGGGGTGGGGGAGGATGGATAAACAGGGAGGTGTCCTGACCTGAAGCTGATGGGAAGCCTGAGGATGGAGGATTTCCCAGAAACCGTGCAACCCGTAGGAGCGCACAAAAGGCTGAGGCCCCAGGTGGATGCCAGGCCCCATGTCTGGCCACCTCTATGACCTGGGAGCCTAATGGTCCTGCCTCTGTTGGTGCGTCTGTAGCCCAGCAAAGTCCAGGGGTAATCCTCAGTGTCCTTGCCACGGTCACTCAGCACGGCCCTGGGAGGCAGGCGGGTGGGAGGTCAGGTACCGTATCCTTGCATTCCAGGTGAGGAGACCGAAGCCCAGGCACTGTGCCATCCCCAGAGTCCTGGGCAGAGTGAGCTGGCTCAGTGCGGACATCTGACCCAGCCTCACAGGGAGCCCGGCCCTTAGGAGGTCGCCTTCCCCTCGAGCTCAGCCAGAGCCTCCTGTAACCCCATTCTGATTCCCTGAAGGGCCACGTGGGACTTAGCTGTGGCCGATGCTGAGGGGTGGGGAGGGGTCCAGAGGGGAGAGACTTGGCTTCTCAGTTTTTATGCTCTTCTGTTCTGAAATAGGGGTTTTCAACATGTGTTTATATGTTTTATATATGTGTATATGTACACAGACTCATGCATATACACATAAGTATATACACACTTATTACACATATGCATGTACACGTAAGTATATACACACTCATACACATATATACATACACGTAAGGAAATGCATACGCATATATACACATAAGTATATACATATACATATATATACACTCACACATACACATGTATACACACATAAACATAAGTATATGCATACACACATACACACATGCTATGTAAGAATATATACACATGTACACATAAGTATAGCACATGTATATACACACACAAACGTGTACACCCATACACACATGTATATACACAGACATATATACACACATATACACATAAGTATATGCACACATGTATTTACATTCACACACATATGCATAAGTATATACACACATAAGTATATACACACCTGTATGTACACTCACACACATACACGCATGTATATACACACATATACACATATTCTACATAAGTGTATACACACGTATATACACACACATAGGTATATACACATGCACTCACACACATATACTATGTAAGTATATACACACATACATATAAGTATACACACACGTATCCTACATAAGTATATACACACATACACATAAGTTCACACATATACTATGTAAGTATATACACACATACACATAAGTATACACATATACTATGTAAGTATATACACACATACACATAAGTATATACACACACACATATACTATGTAAGTATATACACACATACACATACGTATATACACACACACATATACTATGTAAGTATATACGCACATACACATACGTATACACACACTCACACACATATACTATGTAAGTATATACACACATACACATAAGTATATACACACACACATACTACATAAGTATATACACACGTATATACACATACACATAAGTATATTCACACACTCACATACACACATATACTACATAAGTATATACACATATATACATACATACACATAAGTATGTTCACACTCTCATACACACGTTACTACATAAATATATACACACATGTATATACACACATACACATAAGTATATACACACACATATACTATGTAAGTATATACACACACGTATACTACGTAAGTATGTACACATGTATATACACATATCCACACAAGTATATA